CATAGAGACTTTTCTGCCCTGCTGGCTTTGAACTGCTATTCTCAGATAGCAACCTCCTGAATAGCTAGGATAACAGGTGTGAGCCACTAGTACCTGGCTGAAACATTTATTATTTTTAAAAGTTATTTCTGGCCAGGTACCAGTGGCTCATGCCTGTAATGGTAGCTACTCAGGAGGCTGAGATCCGAGGAGTATAGTTCGAAGTCAGCCTGGAAAGAAAAGTGACTCTTATCTACAATTAACTAGCCAAAAACTAGTAGAGGTCTGGCTCAAGTGGTAGGAACCCCTGCTTGAGAAGAAAAGCATTGAGAACAGGAGTCCCTGAATTCAAACCTCAGTATTGGCATAAAAAAAGCAAATACTAAACATCCAGCATGCCTGAGCAGGCACACCAACCCATGGGCACATGCACACAAACTATGAAAAGAACTCCCCATATATTGAACAGCTATTGAAAAACTGAAACTTCCAAGTGTATATAACTGTCTCATTTCTACAAGATCAGAAGAAATGGTGAGAGGTACCGGAGAATAGTATAGAAAGTGGGGACATCCCAGTTCCTCAGAACTAAGACACTCTTGATAGTTTAACAACTCACAATTCTTTAGTAGTTCAAACTTCCAGGTATGTAGTTTTAACTAATAAAACTTGGAGTTAGCTTCATATTTTCTAACAGGAAATGTAGTTAAACATAGGGTTTCTGTGATAAAACTTGACAAATCCATTCATTTTCCCTACAACTAAAAAGACTACAGGTAAGATTACCAATTTGGTTTAGACCATTATCCACCTGCTTCATTGGCTTTGTTAACATTTAACCCCTGTAAAGCTGTAATTAAGAGAAATATTCTGCTCAAAAACAGTAGCCTTTTGATTAAGGTTTAACAGGACAATACTTAATGATCTAAATTATCAAACTGAATGCTCACATTAAATTTATATACTATATATTTATAAATACACCACATTAAATTATCAAACTGAATGCTCACATTAAATTTATATACTATATATTTATAAATACACCACATTTTACCTGATTTATGTTAACCTCTGTAAATCTTAACAAAAATTTTTAAATATCATAATTTAGTGAAGTATACATTTGTGACAATTAGACAATGTAATTTAAATTAGGCTCTATTTTTTAAATTTTTATTTCTACCATTAAAAAATGCATTTTCAGCTGGTGGCTCACACCTGTAACCCTAGCTACTCAGGAAGTAGTGATATGAGGATCAAGATTCAAAGCCAGCCTGGTCAGGAAAGTCCATGAGACTCTTATCTCCAATTAACCACCACAAAACCAGAAGTAGCGGTGTGGCTCAAGTGGTAGAGTGCTCACCCTGAGCTCTTCAGCTCAGGGACAGTGCCCAGGCCCAGAGTTCAAGTACCATGACCAACCCTCTACGAGAAAAAAATTACTGATAAGACATTAGACATATAACACCTAGAGAAAAGGAAAACAGTTTTGCTTTTTAATAATTTTATTTTTTCTAATTTTGTTATTTTAATTTCCCATAGCACCTTGGCAATGTTGAAAACAAATACAAATATAAGGATGTACTCATTTTAACATTTTATGCATGAGCATGTGCCACAACATTTTTTGGGAGGGACAGTTTTGACAATAGGACAACCTAAGCAATGGACAAAATAGAAAGCCAGATAGCTAGTTCTGACACCCCACTCCCCAACACTTGAGATATGTCACTCAGGGACACCTGAATTAGGATTTAAAAACAAAACAAAACAAAAGGAACATTGATGTGGGCATTTCTTTGTATACACTCATCAGTGTTCTTTACTGTAAAACTGAAAATAAAACCATTTAATAAAGCTTGTAGACATCTGAGTTGCAATTTTTTGAGTTGTCTACTTAGAGATTCATAAAAAGTTCTTAGCTTTCAAAAATAAACATTAAGTTATATAATAATCAGATAAATTTTAAAAGAGAATTTATTGTCAACCTGAAAACAAATTCAACTTCTTAAAATGTCCTCAATTCACTTAATGAAAACTGACATATCCAAGAGTCTTCCTCAAAGCTCGGACTACCCATATCGGCATATGCCAAAAAAGCCTAAAGTTAAGTTAGTGGCCACCAAACTGTAAGGAAATATAAAAAATTAGAAAAAAATCCATCATATATTATATTTAAGAATTTATAAAAACTCCTCAAAAGGATTTACTCTGCCCTTTTTGAGTTTTACCTTTTGCATAAAAAAAAAACAAAATTGGTACTTTTAAAATCTGGTTAATATATATTGCCAACAAATACCAGAGCGATTTAACCCCAGTGTTGTTTAACTGTGTCAAAGTAAAACCAGTGGACATTTAGGTCAAGAGACTTAATTTTTTAAGGCCATAACTAATAAAACCAGAGAAAGTGTTGAATATTTTGTTTCAGGGTTATTATTCTCCCTTACACGGAAGATGCTAACATCCCATTATTAAGCCTTTTACAAAGAAAAGCAGGTTATTTAAAGAGATAAAGGAATGTGAAACAATATTCAAGCTACCTTAACTTTAGGAACCAAAATTAAATTAGAAATATGCATGCCATTTAATTACTTGCAAATTGAGCATGTAAGATAACAAACTCTTAGCCTTGAAAGGTCTTATCTTCCAAAATCCAGTTGAAAAAGGAAAGTTACATGGATTGCTTTAAATACCAATGTCTGTATCTGGCAAGATGGAGATTTCCTAGGTTACAGACAGACCTTAGACAATATGAAAACCTTATTTCCCAAGACAGAAAATGGAGACAGGTTTTGTAATGTCTCTAAGTACCTTTGCTATGAAGTGCAAGGTTATGAACTTGTATGACTTTTACTCTCTTTCACACAGAACTATGACAGAAAACTGTAGCTCACATTTAGATATCACACATTTAGATATTTTGGCCTCCAATAGGCCAAATAAATGTTAAGCTGTGAGAGTGACAACTTTGTTTTTTAAATTCCTCCTTCTAAAGAACCAATAAATAGCTGAACTACAATGAACACCCATCCACATCAGAGTAGTGCTGGGATAAGCCAAGTTTCACACAACTCACAGGCATCACTTAGATACAAACCTTAAATCTGCTGCAATAAAATAAATGCTAAATACATACTGTGAATATATATATTACATATATATACACACACACATACACACACACACTATTCCTCCCTTTACATCCCTTCAAATGGGAACTATTTAATTTTGAAGAGGCAAATTAGTTTTATGAAAAAAAAATCCTGTCTTTAAATTTCTACAGTCAATGACATTTTGGAGAAAAAGCAAGAATTACATTTTCTTTCCTCAAAAACTCTGTGTACCAATTAACATTTAGGGATTGGGGGTACAGATCAGTGGTAGAGCATTTGCATAGCCATGTGGAAGGCCCTGGGTTCAATCTCCGGCACTATTTAAAAACAAACAAACAAACAAAAAGCTAACCTGTAAATTTTTAGAAATTGGTGGACTATAAATAAGCCAAACAAGCATAAAAGTAATTCAATACTACATCTTTCAGAAGGGTGACCTCCATTTTAAGTGCAATAATTAACTTTATAAATCCTTACCAAGTGATTTTTACAAAATGTTTATTCTCTGAAATCCAAAGCATTCATAGGGTGTTAACACTGTTAATCATTTCTACCAACCGCAATGTTATCTAAGTAAACCAGAATGAGCACTTTTTATCAGATGTAACCAATGATTATTATTTGTTTTAAAGGACCTAAAGTTCTCTAAACTTTTAGTATAGGTAGTTTTATTGTTTGTTTAATCTAGTAGATAACTGTTAAGAAGTGTGTAGAAATGAATAGCTTCAAACTGAGTGATTATACCATGTTATCAACTCACCAAATGAAAAGCAATTGCTAAGCTGAATAAGTTACAAAGAAATCATAACAATTCTGGCTTGTACAGATATGTGCAGTGTTTTCAAAGCTCTTAATGGGTACTTACTAATATAAATCTCAAAAACTTAACTTAGAAGATGAGTTTCACAGTAATGTAATTTTAACCTCCATTTACATTCATTTTAATATATTACTAAGATGTTTACTCTATGTCACAATGGTGCTTTCCAGTGTTCACAATTTACAGTTGCAATTTGTACATATGTAACTCACTAACATAACGGACAGTTTGTACTATTATAAACTATCCACAGAACAAAAAAATAAAACCCCACCTACATAGAACTCTGAACATGGTATGTCTTAAAATAGATTAATGCAACATGGTTTTTAATATTTTAGCCTTTTTCTAAATGCCAGCATGTAAACTTTCCTATTTAGTATATGGCAGCTACAACTTTATTCACTGAGGAATTATGCATTAATTTTTCTTCAACCATCTTTCTCACCTTATCTCAAAAGTCTCTTGACTTCCTGTGTGTTTTGTTTTGCTTTTGAAGAGAGGGAAGGAAGGTGATAAATACATTGTAAACACACAAAAAAAAAACTCCCCCCAAGTTAATCTTTTAAATTTTTTTTCCCTCTTCTATACTACTTATTTTAAAAATCAATTACATTGTTTCATCTTTAACACTAACAAAAATAAATTACTGGCAGGTCAGTCTGCCCCTACCATCTTGGAACCTAATAGTCTACAGAAGAGTAAAACACTTCAATGCTCAATTCTGAAATTTAGAACACTTATAAGTTCAACTAAATTGGTCAAAGCTAGAAACATACAATTCAGTAGGTGAATGCTTATATTGCCTTTGGGGTAGGCAGTCTCAAAGAATAAAGAATAACAAATTAAGAAACAAAACCTTTTTGTTTCCCATTTTAAGGGGGGGGAACCCACAAGGCAATTTAAGCCTCTGAAATCCATCAATTTTTTAAAATAACCCCCATTCTTTTCTTGAGTATCAAACTGATTGGTAGTCACATCTCCAAGTACAATCACAGCTTAACAGCTTTTTGAATGTAGTATTAGTAAATTCAAAAACTAAATTTCAAACTAGAAAAAAAAATCTACTCAAGTATTACATTCAGTTTCAAATCATTTACTAACATGACAACAGATTTGGCTTAAATCACTCTAGTATACACTCATACCCACAACAGTCACCCCAGCCACTGATCTGCTTTACAACACAAGGCCATATACTCAGAGATGGCATTCTCCAAGCCAAACTTGAAATAGATTTAAAAAAGTAATTTCTAATTTTTACAGAAATGCTTCTTCAAAAAATATTTTCTCTCACTCCCTCATCTCCTATACTGAAGGATGTTTTTGTTTCCCCCAAGCTAAATCCGAACCCTCAAAATTGATTCTAGGCAGAACAACCTCTGCAAATTAAAATCAAAACAAAAATAGAAAATTATATTTTATCTATGAGTATATATATATATATATATGTATTTATATATATATATTTATATTGATTGGAATCCTCCAGCATTTTAAAATCACTTTAGAGATGAATTTTGGGATCCTACTACTCACAATTCCAAAATCCATAATGATTTAAGGACATACTTTCAGTTTCCTTCCTGGCTACCTCCTCTCCTCCAAACAGTTCAATATAGCCACGGCTCAAGTTTAATGGGAAGAGAGAAAGTTTCTGAATAGTTGTTTTTTTGTGTTTTTTTTGTTTGTTTGTTTGCTTGTTTTACTTTGGTGATCTGGGTGGCACATATTGCTCTTTGCCATTACGTCGAGTCACTCCCTGAGGTATAGCCCTATGGCTAAACTGGCGTCTCTGTTCCCTGATTTTTCCAGCTGCTCCCCTGGAAATGGTATTGCCTCGGAAGCCAGGATAATCTTTACTAGCCCTTGCTTCTGATTTCTCATGTGGTTTCTCAACCGACTTCTCAGGGGCTCCATTCTCTTCATTTTTGGTGGGAGACACTACATTAGAGCGAAGTTCCCGTAGTGGCTGTACAAGAACTGGAGATGGCTCTTTAGGTGGCTTTTGGCACACTTCAGCATAACTTAACTTTCGGGGTTCCTTTAAAGGGATAAGAAAGAAATTTTTAGTTTATTTTCTTTAAGTATAAAACAGGGTCAGTTTAACCACAAGAAAAGCAAAAAGTTACCTTCAAAGAGAAGGAAAGTACTTTACAAACTATACTATTATTAAAATACAAACATATATTAAAAAATAAGACATGTTTTTGAAAAAACTGAATATCCACTTTAGAAGACTACAACTAGATCCTCTGCACAAAAATTCAACATGTACCAAGATCTTAATGTAAGGCCTGAAATTTTAAAACAAAGAGGACACAGGAAAAAATCTTAAAGACACAAGCATAGGCAACTATCTTCTGAATAGAGTTCCAATTGTCCAGGAAATGAAAGAGACTTACATCCAATTAGGTACCAAAAAAGGTATAAGTGGAGGTGTGGCTCAAGTGGTAGAGCACAAGCCTCGAGGACAAAAGCTCAGGACAGGAAACCCCAGATTAAAACCCCAGGATCAGCAATGAAAAAATTAAGAGGGTAGTAAGAGGGTTTTAAGAGGGTTAAGTGTTTTTTTAATGCTAGCTCCCAAATGGTAAATTTACCATAATTTCCTTTAACTGTAATATGATCAGAAGGGGAAAAAAGGCAACCAAAAAAAAAAGAAAAGTGAGGGGCTGGGAAGGTGGCTCAGTGGTAGAGCGCTTGCCTTGCATGCATGAGGCCCTGGAGTCGATTCGCCAGCACCACATAAACAAAAAGAAAAAAAGCCGGAAGTGGCGCTGTGGCTCAAGTGGTAGAGTGGTAGCCTTGAGCTGAAAAGCTGAGGGGACAGCGCCCAGGCCCAGAGTTCAGGCCCCACAACCGGACCCAAAAAAAACCCAAAAACAAAACAAAAAAAGAAAAGTGAATAGCAACTTCTTCAACTCTTTAACAGGACTACAACTTCACATTTCTTAATGACCTTACGTCTTTTTTTTCTTTTATTTTTTGCCAGTCCTGGGGCTTGAACTCCGGACCTGGGCACTGTCCCTGAGCTTCCTTTGCTCAAGGGTAGCACTCTATCACTTGAGCTACAGAGCCACTTCTGACTTTTTCTGTTTATATAGTTCTGAGGAATTGAACAGGGCTTCATGCATGCTAGGCAAGTACTCTACCACTAAGCTACCTTCCCAGCCCCACTTTAACTCCTTTAGCTTCTCTCTGATTCAGGAAGCTCTCACTTGGAATACTCTGCTATACAAGGTATCATTTGAATAAATAAGTTTTACATTATCTATTGTATTGTATTGCATAAATTGAATTCTTCAAGTTACCTGTAGGGCCACAGCTACGGGTACATTTGTGCTACTATTGCAAGGTGAAGCAGTGTTTGCCCTTGATGGTTTTGCAGTACTTGGGGAAGAAACTGGTACAGTCACCTGATTGAGAACATCCTTCTGAACAGTGGAATCTTCTATCAGATCCTTTTCTTGCTTAGTTGTGCTAAGGAAAAGAGGAGCTAGACGTTAAGAATAGTACACAAAAATGGTTCAGCTGCTAATAAGAAGAAAAAAAAATTTTTTGGTAGGACATGGGGCTTGAACTCTGGGCCTGGTGCTATTCCTGAACTCTACAGCTTAAGGCTAGTGCTCTAACATTTGAGCCACAGGGCTACTTCTGGTTTTCTGAGTGGTTTATTGGAGATAAGAGCTAGCGGACTTTCCTGCCTGGGCTGGCTTTGAACTGCGATCCTCAGTACCTAGGAGTACAGGCATAAGCCACTGGTGCCCGGCTCAATAACTCTTTTTAAAAGAAGGTTTTGCAATAGTAACCCAAGCTGGCCTCAAAACTCTCCATCTGCTTGACTCAGTGTTCTGCATCATGTGATTACAACTGTACACTACCCAAGTTTCAGTTAAGAAAAAATACTTTAAGCCGGGTGCTGGCGGCTCACACCTGTAATCCTAGCTACTCAGGAGGCTGAGATCTGAGGATCGCAGTTCAAAGCCAGCCCGGGCAGGGGAGAGACCATGAGACTCCTATCTCCAATAAACCACCAGAAAACCGGAAGTGGCGCTGTAGCTCAAGTGGTAGAGTGCTCGCCTTGAGCTGAAGAGCTGAGGGACAACGCCCAGGCCCAGAGTTCAAGCCCCAGGACCAACAAAAAAAAAAGAAAAAAAAATACTTTAATATTTAAGATCTTTTCTGAAATATGTACCTTAACACAGGAAGTTCAGTTGTACATGGAGGACTGGTACTTATACTGAGTTGCTGGGTAGAAGTGCAGTCTGTCTGTTCATCTTCTGCAGGTACTGGGCAACCAACTCTCAAGTCTTCATTGTCCTTAAAAGTAAAAAGATATTTTAAAATTACATTTAGACATTTTTCCTGAAAAGATAAATGACCAAAAAGCACAGGAAAAGATGTCCAGTATGATTTAGTCAGCAGTGAAAAGCCATCTATTTTATATCCCCTAGGATGCCTATAATAACAAAAAAGACAGATATTAGCTGGGTATGATGGTGTGCATGCCTATATTTTCATCACTTGGGATATGAGTTTGAAGCCACTTTGGCAGCCTGAAATTCTTATCTCAAAAACCAAACCAAGCCAGGTGCCAGTGGCTCACTCTTGTAATCCTAGCTACTCAGAAGGCTGAAATCTGAGGATCGAGGTACAAAGCCAGACCAGGCAGGAAAGTCCACGAGACTCTCATCTCCAATTAACTACCAGAGAACAGGAAGTGGCCCTGTGACTCAAGTGGTAGAGCATGAGCCTTGAGCTGAAGAGCTGAGGGACAGCACCCAGACCCAGAGTTCAAGCCCCACAACTGAACAAAAAACAAACAAAACAAAACAAAAAACCACAACAGATATTAACAAGTGTTGGTTATGATACAGAGATACCAGAACACGATACACTGGCAGTGCATTAGAAGATAACCTGGCAGTTACTTAAAAAGGTAAACAGAGCTATCCCATAATAAATTAAATAAAAAGATATGTCCATATAAAAACAACAACTAAGAGTTTATCTGTATAGTGGTCATGACAAGAAGGATCATGAGTTTGAGGCCAGCCTGTGCTACATAGCAAGACTTTTGGGGGGGGGAGGGGGTTAAAAAAAAGGCTGTAGGGAATTTATCACACAAATATTCATGCTAATTTTCTCTATACCATTCCAATTTTAGTATATGTGCTGCAGAAGAGAGCACTACCACACAAATTATCACAGTACCATAATTTATATTAGACAAAGTGAAAACAAAGGTAATGTCTACCAAATGACAAATGATACATGAATAAGCAAAAGCTGGTATAACCTCTCTGTCAAAAAGTTATTACTAGTCAGTAAGTTTAAAAAATGAGTACTGATATACCTTTAAAGTGAATTAAAATCCTGAGGGCATCCTACTATGAAAATAAGCCAGGTCATGGAAAGACAAATACTTTTATGATTCTAGTTCTTTGTTTTTTTTTGGCGGGGGTCCGGTCGTGGGGCCTGAACTCTGGGCCTGGGCACTATCTCTCAGCTCTTTAGCTCAAGGCTAGCGCTCTACCACTTGAGCCACAGTGCCACTTCCGGCTTTTTTCTTATGTGGTGCTGAGGAATTGAACCCAGGGTCTCAGGCATGCAAGGCAAGCGCTCGACCACTGAGCCACCTTCCTAGCCCCTGATTATAGTTATTTTTGTGCCTGCAAGTGTCAGTTTATAAAAACAAAGTAGAAGGTAGTTACCAGGGGCTCAGGGGGAAATAGAAAATGGTGTTTAATAGATAAAAAGTTGTGGTGCTATAGTTCAAGTGGTAGAGCGATTGCCTGGAGCTAAAGAGCTGAGGGACAGTACCTGGGCCCAGAGTTTAAGCCCCATGACCGACAAAAATAAAACATAAAAATAAATAAATAAAAAGTTTTAGTTTTGAAGGTGAGTTCTAGACTAGCTGCACAACAATGTGAATGTACTTACTACTATATCAAAATAGTTATTACCACTAAATCTTGTGTCAAATTTAACATGAGAAAAAACATTTAACATAAGGGCATACATTTTGTGGCCTTATGCAGCTTCACTGGAATTTAAAAAAACACTCTTAGTAATGCTGAAAACTAGGGGCTGGGAAGGTGGCTCAGTGGTAGAGCATTTGCCTTGCATGCATGAGGCCCTGGGTTTGATTCCTCAGCACCACATAAGCAAAAAGAAAAAAGCTGGAAGTGGTTCTGTGGCTCAAGTGGTAGAGCACTAGCTTTGAGCTGAAGAGCTGAGGGACAGTGCCCAAGCCCAGAGTTCAGGCCCCATGACCGGACCCCCCCCCAAAAAAAAGATTAATGCTGAAAACTTCACAAGTGAAAACTACAATAGAAATACATATAATTGGGCTTGGAAGGTGGCTCAGTGGTATAGTGCTTGCCTTGCATGCATGAGGCCCTGGGTTCGATTATTCAACAACATGTAAGCAAAAAAAAGCCACAAGTGGCACTGTGGCTCAAGTGGTAGAACGCTAGCTAGCCTTGAGCTGAAGAGATGAAAGACAGAGCCCAGGCCCAGATTTCAGGCCCCATGACGGACAAAAACAAACAAACAAAAAAGAAATACATACAACTTGCAAGTGAAATTTTAAACAATAACCTTGAAATCAATGCCTGAGAATGCTTCCACAAAATGAGAATCATACTGATGCTTCATGTTTACCTTTTCTTTGTAGACACCTTTAACAACATCGGACATTCTATTCTCCAAAACAAGTTCACCCGGTATTCTTGATGAACTTCCAGGCAATGGAGGAAAATTTGAAGCTAATAAGTCAAACTTTGGTGTTGAAGCTTTTGTTTCAGCTGAAGGATGAGGTCTCTTAAAATAAACAAATTCCACAAATGATTAAACAGGTCATATGCCTACTCGATTCTCTCCACACAGAAGCTGAAAAAAAAAAAACCCCAACCAAACAATATTTATCTAAAGTATAAAGTATAACTAAAGTATAACTTGTCTCCTAGACTCTCATTTGAGTTTCTCTCTCATTAGTTCTATTCCAGTTCTACTTATGTTCAGTTATATTTAGTCAGCTTCCTCTTGTTTTTTTTCTATCTACGGATGTATGTATGTATGTATGTATATATGTATATATGTATGTATGTATGTATGCATGCATGTATGTAGTACTGAGGAATCGAACCCAGAGCCTCATACATGAAGGCAAGCACTCTACCACTGAGCCACCTTCCCTGCTCTCCCTTCAGAATGTTTAAATTCATTATTAGTTGAATAATGAAAATTAAATAAAGTAAATCTCTGCTCTTGTCTTAAAAAAAAGAGGGAGATCTATTCGACTTATTTCCTCTTCAGATGGTACCCTGTACTAATCTAAACTTATCACTTTAGTTGCTATAAGCTTACAAATTTTCCATATTCTTTCTAGATAAGATATAGTTTCTGCACAAAGGCTCTTATACTTTCCCTTCATTCTGGAAAGCATGCCATTGGCTCATGTCTGTAATCTTAGCTACTCAGGAGCAGAGATCTGAGGACTGTGGTTCAAATCCAGCCCAAACAGGAAAACTCATTAACTTTTATCTCCAATAAACTACCAAAAAGCCAGAAGTGGAGCTGTGACTCAGGTGGTAGTGTGTTAGCCTTGAGCAAAAGAAGCTCAGGGACAATGCCCAGGCCCAGACAGAGTTCAAGCTCCAATATTTAAAAAAATAATAAAGGGGTGGGGGAAGAGCATGCTTGTCTCCTTTCCTTTTAACTGTAAATCATAAGATTTTCAACATAATAACAAGTGGCTAGTTAGCTCAGTTGGTTTAGTATGGTGCTATAATAACACAATAACCCGATTCTAAATCTAGGTTTGCCCCTCCATTTATTCAGAACGACTTGAGGATTCATGTGCAGTACTGTAATGGCATACCTCAAAAGTCACTGCTGAAAAGCAGGGTATAGATAGCTCACACCTACAAACCTAGCTTCACAGGAAGCTGACATCTGAGGATCATTGTTCAAAGCCAGCCCTGGCAGGAAAGTCCATGAAACTTACCTCCAACTAACCAACAAACAAGGTAACATGACACTGTAGTTCAAGTAGTAAGTGCTAGCCTTGAGCAAAAAAGACTCAGGGACAGCACCCAGGCCCTGAGTTCAAGTCCCATGCTTGACAAAAAGAAAAAAAAAAAAGGGACCAACTCAGACTCTATTTAGTTATCCTGATTATAATCAATAAAATAAACAGGAAGGAAAGACAGGTAATAAGTCAAGGCCTCATTAGTCACAACAGAAAAAAATGTTATCTGTTTAGGCACCTGTAATCCTAGCTACCAGGAGGCTGAGATTAAGGATGGAGATTGCAAGCCAGCCAGGGCAGGAAAGTCTGTAACACCCTTATCTCCAATTAGTCACCCAAAATCCAGAAATGGAACTATGGACCAAGTGCTAGAACCCTAGCTAGTTAGCCTTGAACAAAAATGTTTAAGCCTTAGAACTGGTGAAAGGAAG